AGCACCCACTGTTTTCCCCAGGGGGTGCTCCAGAACCGGAGCTGGTGCCTATGATTGCAGCATAACCATAATGCGCCTGTGAGTTCTGAGCATGTGTAGGGGGCAGCTTTCTAATCCAAAAAGTTGAGGAAACAACTAAGGGGTCAACCATTTGGGATCTGATTTTGACCACCAGGGATGAATTACTTGTGAACGGGAAGGTGGTCGGGAACTTGGGAGGAAGTGATCGTGATCTGATAGAATTCAAGATCCTCGGAAACAGCCAAACTGGGCTTCAGACAGGCGATTTCAACCGACTCCGAGAAATAGCAGGCGAGATGCCATGGAAAGACCAGTTAAGAAGAAAAGGAGTCGAAGGAGACTGGCAGTTCCTAAAAGCTGTAAATTGGAGACTCAACATCAAGCTATTCCAACACAGAGGAAAGATAAGAGCCACAGGAGGCCAATTTGGCTGCACAAGGAGCTTTTTAGCTATCTAAAAACCAAAAGGGATCCATAAAGGAAATGGTGGGAGGGGCATGTCCCCAAGGAAGTAGACAAGGGAATAGCCTGCACATCTTGAAGGGACTATTCAAATTAAGTGGCTCATCAAGGAACATTTAACTCACAATGGACGATGGGAGACGCCTATCTACAGATAATTGGCTTTCCTGCTATGACTAAGTGAATTTATGCATAGACATGTCACTTGCTCTTGTGACTGCAAACTCCATTTTTTACCTGTAATTTGCCACTAGCTCTGCTGAGGGCTTTGTTTGAAACAATGGGTTTCCCTCCACATGGAGGAAGATATAAAAGGCCTTGGAAAGATCTCCATTTTACCTCTTTCCTGCTCAAGCCTCTGGACTATGGACTTATACTAATACGAGCATCTAACAAATGGACTGAGGACCTTCCAATGATTTGGAAGCAACCAGAGACTTGACTTAAGTCAGCAGTTTATTCCATCACCGCTACAAGCCTGAACCAAGAACTTTGCAATTATTGTATTGTGACAAAGTTCCTGCTCTACCTTGGTGGGTCTTGCGCTGATTGGCGGATTTGCTCGCCTTGGAGCTTCACGGCAGCCCTCAGCTTGGCTGTTTTTGTGAACCCACAGTCCAGGTCGACTCCTCCTGTGTCTGACCAGGAGTTGGGAGGATTTGGGGGGAACCCGGGCCCGCCCTCGACTCCGGGTTCCAGCCCAGGGCCCCGTGGAATGCAGCTGTCTAGGGCTGGGCTACTTCCCCATGGCCTCCTCTCAACACCTTCTTTATCCTCACCACAGGACCTTACTCCTGGTGACTGATAATGCTTGTACACCTCAGTCCTCCAACAGTCCACGTTCTCACTCTCAGCTGCTAGTGCCTCTTGCTCCCAGCTCCTCACATGCACACCACAAACTGAAGTGAGCTCCTTTTTAAAACCCAGGTGCCCTGATTAGCCTGCCTTAATTGATTCTAGCAGCTTCTTGATTGGCTGCAGGTGTTCTAATCAGCCTGTCTTAATTGTCTCCAGAAGGTTCCTGATTGTTCTGGAACCTTCCCTGTTACCTTACCCATGGAAAAGGGACCTACTTAGCCTGGGGCTAATATATCTGCCTTCTATTACTCTCCTGTAGCCATCTAGCCCGACCCTGTCACCGTATGTATTTGATTCCCTTAACCAATTTTAACTCTCACCTTTCTTTCTTTCTTTCTTTCTTTCTTTCTTTCTTTCTTTCTTTCTTTCTTTCTTTCTTTCTTTCTTTCTTTTTATAAATAAACCTTTAGATTTTGGATACTAAAAGATTGGCAACAGTGTGATTTTTGGGTAAGATCTGAGTTGTATATTGACCTGGGTGTGTAGCTGGTCCTTTGGGATCAGAAGAACTCTTTGTTTGATGAAACTGGTTTTAAAGAAGAAACAACGAGGAGTCCTTGTGGCACCTTAGAGACTAACAAATTTATTTGGGCATAAGCTTTCATGGGCTAAAACCCACTTCATCAGATGCATGGAGTGAAAAATACAGCAGCAGGCATATATACACAGTATATGAACAGATGGGAGTTGCCTTACCAAGTCGGGAGTCAGTGCTAACGTGGCCAATTCAATTAAGTGAAATAGGCCACTTCCACCTTAACTGAATTGGCCTCATTAGCACTGACCCCCCACTTAATAAGGCAACTCTCATCTTTTCATGTGCTGTAATATTTATATTGCTTACTGTATTTTTCACTCCATGCATCTGATGAAGTGGGTTTTAGCCCATGAAAGCTTATGCCCAAATAAATGTGCTAGTCTCTAAGGTGCCACAAGGACTCCTTGTTGTTTTTGCTGATACAGACTAACATGGCTACCACTGTGAAACCTGCCACCATGCAAGGCACTGGTTTTAAAGAACCACTCATCTTTAAGTCAAGTGTCTGGGTGTTGAATCCAGGACTGGAATGCCTCAGGAAACTGCTTTTCTGACTTCTTGTTACCCGGTGTGGTGAGACAGAAGTTTACTTTTGTTGCTGGTTTGGTATACCAAATGGGAGAGTAACTGCCAGTTTTGGGGTTCATCTGCCCTATTTCTCAGCAGTTTGTCCTGAATTTGGTATTCTCAGTTGTGATCCAAGAAAGCACAGTGACAGGGGTCAACAAGCATGTGGACAAGGGGGATCCAGTGGATATAGTGTACTTAGATTTTCAGAAAGCCTTTGACAAGGTCCCTCACCAAAGGCTCTTAAGCAAAGCAAGCTGTCATGGGATAAGAGGGCAGGTCCTCTCAGGGATCAGTTACTGGTTAAAAGATAGGAAACAAAAGGGTAGGAATAAATTATCAGTTTTCAGAATGGAGAGAGGTAAATATTGGTGTCCCCCAGAGGTCTGTGCTGGGCCCAGTCCTATTTAACATATTCATAAATGATCTGGAAAAAGGGGTAAACAGTGAGGTGGCAAAATTTGCAAATGATACAAAACTACTGAAGATAGTTAAGTTCCAGGCAGACTGTAAAGAGCTACAAAAGGATCTCTCAGAACTGGGTGACTAGGCAACAAAATGGCAGATGAAATTCAATGTTGATAAATGCAAAGTAATGCACATTGGAAAACATAATCCCAACTATACATATAGAATGATGGGGTCTAAATTAGCCGTTACCACTCAAGAAAGAGATCTTGGAGTCATTGTGGATAGTTCTCTGAAAACATCCACTCAGTGTGAAGTGGCAGTCAAAAAAGCACACAGAATGTTGGGAATCATTCAGAAAGGAATAGATAATAAGACAGACAATATCATATGGCCTCTATATAAATCCATGGTACGCCCACACCTTGAATACTGCGTGCAGTTGTGGTTGCCCCATCTCAAAAAAAGATGTATTGGTCTTGGAAAAGGTTCAGAAAAGAGCAACAAAAATTATTAGGGTATAGAACGGCTTCCGTATGAGGAGAGATTAATAAGATTGGGACTTTTCAGCTTGGAAAAGAGACGATTAAGGGGGGGATATGATAGAGGTCTATAAATCATGACTGGTATGGAGAAAGTAAATAAGGAAGTGTTATTTACTCCTTTTCATTACATGAACTAGGGGCCACCAAATGAAATTAATAGGCTGAATGATAAAAGTGAGGAGCAAACACTGCAAGGGATTTCTCTCCCTATCCATCTCCCTCTTTGCCCCTAAGAATACAAAAGAACAAACTGCTGGACTTTGGTCCGAAGATTTTGCTCAGTAATATAGCTGGGAGGATGTGGTAAGGAATTTACCTGGAATTAAATCTAGTTTGTTATGTTAGGAAGTACTTATCTTTCTTTTTCTTATAAACAATGCTGACTTTTATGCCTCATGACTTGTACTCAGTCTTACTTAAAATCCTATCTGCCTTTGTTAATAAACTGGTTTTATTGTTTAATCCAATCCAGTGTGTTTAAGTTACATTGTCTGGGTAACTCCATTTTGGGTGGCAAGTTGTGTATTGTTCCCTTAGCAGGACAATGGACCTAATATCTCTGGACTGTCCGGGAAATGGCTGAATGGTTCAGAACATACATTTTGGGGAGGAATCTGAGACTGGGGATGTGTTGTGGTCACCCTGCAGTAGTAACCTAGACTGGTTAGAACCAGAATGTGGCTGGCAGGCTGCAGTTACACACAGACGCAGGGGCACCTGCATGCTGGTGGCTGTTTGTGAGCAAGCCAGGTTGGGAGCTACAGCAGCAAGGCATTGCAGGGCCCCCCAGGTTACAGGGCAAGTGATGAGACTGGTCTGGAGAACACTCACGCATGTCACAATAGTTACAGTGTGACTTCCCAAAAATATCACAGTACAATGCGCACTGCTGAACACACGCACACAACTGTCATTAAAATGTACAAATCAATATTTTTGTATGTATATTTATAATGTGTTTTATAACAAATTAGTCACAGACTGTGCGTTGCAGTGTGATTTTGGGGAGCATGGTTTCTGATGTGTGCATTGAGGGTGATGGTATTGATGACTAGAGATGCCATTAGTGTACTGGTGGCAGTAAGCTAATGCTTGGAGGCTGGTGGTGTACTGGGTGTGAATGGTACCTATAATCTATAACCTCCTTGTTTTTGGCATTAGGCATGTGAGGAAATAAACTTGAACAGCCTTAACTCTAATTTAACATGACTGTTGTGTGGGGATGAGCTCTTCCATGGGCTTAGACTTCTGAGTCATGAACTATCAAGAGACTAATTCATGCACATACCTTGTTGGAACCTTAACTATGGAGCTCCTAAAGTGCCTCCATAATCCTCCTAGATCTGACGTCCTGAAAGAATGCTCAAGGCCTTGATCTTGGGTTAGCTTTCTCCTCCGATGCAACAGACACTTACAATAATTGGTTGGTTGGTTCTTTCCATTGAAGGATACAGTAATCCAGTTCAGCAGCAGTGGTGCAGTGACTGTGTCTGCCAGCATGTGAGTTGGGAGGAGTGTCTGTTGCATTTGGATTTGTCATGCGCTCATCAACCACTGTCACAATATCAGGCTTACATGGTTTCTTCATTTGTTTCCTGTAGGTTCATGAAGGTGGCTGGCCGCACAGTGGATGCTGTTACCTGGCAACAGTAGGTATTCACCATTCTTTTTACTTTCCCAAACTAGCAGCTGTGCAGCAATGAGATGTTTAGGGCAGAGTTAACATCTTGTCTAGGTTCAAAAGGTCACTGTGAAAGGGACAGACCCCCTGGAAGCCACCTCTTCAGCCACTGTACTGTGCTTAAGTGGAGAGAAAGGCCATCCCCTGGCAGCTCACTCGGAAACACGCCATGGCAGGGACGCATTAGCCTTTGCTGTTGCCCTGGGCTGGGTGTGTAAGTATCTACCTGGGGAACAAATATTTAATAATGGGTTCTCCAGTCTAGCAGAGACAGGTCTACAAAGAGCCAGGGGCAGGAAGGTGAAGCTGGATAAATTAAGGCTGGAAATATGGTGTACATTTTTAACAGTGAATGTAATTATCCATTGGGACAACCTAGCAAGGGCTGGGATGGATCTCCAGCACTGACACTGCCTTCCTAAAGGATCTGCACTAGGAGTTATGTTGGGGCCGTTCTCTGGCCTGTGCTATACAGGAGGTCAGACTAGGTGATCACAGTGACTCTTTGGGTCTTGGAATCTCGGAATAATCAGTCACCCCTCCAGCTACCAGATTGTTCTACCAAATTGCAGGAAGTGGAAAAAGCTCTTCCCCAAGCTTCATTTGTTGCCTGGGTACCTGATACCTCGTAAGGTAGGCAGACAGCTTCAGGGCTAGGCCAGGCTGCACTGGACAGGGGAGCAGAAAGCTGCATGCGGTGCGTCACTGGACAATTTGAAAGTCCTTCTGTGTATCCTGCTTCTCTTTGCACCTCTGGCTGTGGCCTCTCACATGCTGGTGGCCTGGATCTAAACCCACCAGAGCTAGAGAGAGAAAACTCAGTCCAATGGAAAATACATTACTGCCCCAGGAGTAGTGTAGAGCTGGGTTCTCTGCCATCCCTATATGGGAAACAGAGACTGGGTGTCCAGGGGGAATCCACCTATAGGAATAACCTTTAAACCACTACACAGCACTGTAACTAGGATACAGGGCTGGAGAATAGATTCCATGGAAATCTTTTATGTAAACTCCCAGATTCCAGTCCAGGATGGGATTGTCAGCCAGAGGTTAACGCTTGATTTCTCACCTGACTCCCCAAATTACAAAATGAGTGTTAATAGTGCCATTGGTAGAGAGGCTTGGAGCATGTTCGTATGTCATGGGTAAGGTGAAGATGTTGTCAGGGATATTTTTAGTAATGGTCAGGGACAGGTCACAGCCAATAAAGAAAAATTCCTGGAAGCCCGTGGCCTGTCCCTGACTTTTACTGAAAATATCCCTGACCAAATGGGGAGGCCAGCTGCCTCCAGAGGTTGGAAAGCTGTGGGGACCGCTCTGAGCTCTGGGGGTCCCCCCTGCCTGTGGGGGCTTGGAGCTCCAGGGTTCCCAGGCTCTGAGCTCTGGGGGTCCCCCCTCCCTGTGGGGGCCAGGAGCTTTGAAGGATCCCCAGTGACCCCAGCAGCTCAGAACTCTGGGGCCCCGCCACCCACGACAGCTCAGAGCTCAGGGGCCACCCCCTGTGTTGGCTGGGAGCTGCGGGGGCCCCGCTGCGGTCAGGAGCTGTGGTCCCACCACCCATGGTGGCAGGGAGCTCAGGCGGACCCCACTGGCTGTGTTGGCCAGGGGCCGCAGGGCTGGGGTGCTGCCTGCAGCAGCTCGGAGCCCCAGGGGACCCCCGCTGCCCACCTCCGCTGGGGCCCCGCTACCTGTGTTGGCTGGGAAATACACCGGGGTCCTGGCACCCATAGCCACGGGGAGCTGCAGGGCTACCCCACCGCCCACTGCGGCCAGGAGCTGCTGCCTGTGATGGCTGGGAACTCTGGGGGGCCCTGGCACCCGCGGCCCCAGGGAGCAGTGGGGGACCCCTGAAGCTTCCAGCTGACAGGGCTGAATTCACGGATTCCGTGACTTCCGTGAAAAAATCGTAGCCTTAGTCTTGGGCAAATAGTGGGAATGCCTCATGCCAGACAGCCTGAGCTGTCCTGTGTACCCTAATCATGGGCGGTGCGTGAACCACCAGCTGCAGGAGGCTAGCTCCCAGCCAGTCCCACCCCACAACACGAGGACCCGGGAGGCACGAGGCCCCCTCCCCTGGCCCCCAAGCACAGCCCCCGAGCAAAGGGCAGGCGGCGTGGCCCCACCCCGGCCCACCCAAGCACAGGGCAGGCAGCCTCAATGCCTCCAGCCTCACCCACCTCTCCCCAGCGCTGGGCGGCCCCAGCCACTCCAAGTCCCGGCCGCCCTAGCCCCAGCAAGCTGCTTCCCTAGAGAGGAGCACCATGCCGGGGCTGGGGTCAAGGGGGAAGGGCAAGCACTAAGCAGAGCTTCGGGGAGGAGCATGGGTGGGGCCGCGTGGGGCTGTTTGGGTAGGCACAGCCTTCCCCAGCCTATGGGATGTGCTGCCCATGACCCTAATCCTGCTAGAGAGTCAGGAACCACTTCCTATGATTCAGGGAGCGTGCTGAGCCCCAGCGACTCCCCTGACAATGAGGGGTATGTTAAAAACCAAACCCTGACTAGCGGCACTGGCCACCATAGGGTGTTGGCTTTTTTTGGTGTAAATTATTCCATGTCCTCTCCCCTTCCCCATGAGCATCCGCTTTCCCAGTTCGTCTTGGAGTGTTTGCACGGGCACGTTCCACTGTAGGTGCGCACCTTGTGCACAGTGAGTGGAGAATGTTACCCTCTGCGGGACCCAGCGGGGTGCTCCAAGAGCCCTCTGTCGCCACCCTGGTTTGAGAGGGCAGAGCCACCCTGTGCCCTCTCAGCTCCTTCTTACTGCCACCGATGGCTGTCAGAGCAAAGCCAGGCTGCGTGCAACAAATGCGTCCCTCACTCCTGTGTGTATATATCCTGTTGCTGTTAGAAATTAGCCAGTTCTCAGTGCTAGGTTTGCATTTTAGGCCTTTTTTGACCACTTTTTATCTTTCGGTACCAGGATCGGTACCAGAACGATGCCCGGCTCTCCAGGGTTACGTCCTGCTGGACTTGTGCTAAGCCTGTGCCTGTCGGCGACCCACACCTGGCCTGCTTACAACATTTGGGAAAATCCCACATTAGTGACAAATGTCCCTTTTGTGAAGGGACCAAGCCCCGCTCAAAGAAAGAACAACATAGCGGCTAATGTGCTTACTTAGGGAGACAGCACTTTGCCCTCCATCAGAGTCATCACTGGGGAAAGCGCCCCCCATAAGTCAGTTTCAGAGTGGAGTGCCCCACTGGAGATGTCCTCTCCTCTCCTCTCTCTCTCTCTTTGCCGGTACTGAAGAAAAGGCTCAGGCCTTCCTCAGGTTCGGTACCAGGGCCAAGTAGAGGCAGAGACTCTGTGAAACATGCAGGGGAGAAGCTGCCCCTGGAGCACTCCTCGCCTAGGGAGAGGAGATTGCTGCCTCTGGAACCTGTGCCAGGTCTGTCGAGGCGATCCCCTGAGAGATCTCTGCAGTGCCACTTTACTTACTGTGTATAAAGCTTATGTAGGGTAAACTCATAAATTGTCCACCCTCTATAACACTGATAGAGAGATGTGCACAGCTGTTGCTCCCCCAGGTATTAGTCACTTACTCTGCGTTAATTAATAAACAAAAGTGATTTTATTAAGTATAAAAAGTAGGATTCAAGTGGTTTCAAATAATAACAGACAGAACAAAGTAAGTCACCAAGTAAAATAAAGCAAAAACATGCAAGTCTAAGCCTAATACGTTAAGAAACTGATTACAGATAAATTTTACCCTCAGAGATGTTCCAATAAGCTTCTTTCATAGACTAGACTCCTTCCTAGTCTGGGTCCAATCCTTTCCCCTGGTACAGTCCTTGTTAATTCCAGCTCAGGTGGTAACTAGGGGATTTCTCATGACTGCAGCCCCAATTGTTCTGTTCCACCCCCTTTAATAGCTTTGGCACAAGGTGGGAATCCTTTGTCTCTCTCTCTCTGGGTTCCCACCCCTCCTTCTAAATGGAAAAGCACAAGGTTAAAGATGGATTCCAGTTCAGGTGACATGATCACATGTCCTGTGAGACTTCATTACCCACTCACTGGCACACACGTATACAGGAAATCTTACAAGTAAACAGAGCCATTTACAACCAGTTGTCCTGGTTAATGGGAGCCATCAAGATTCCAAACCACCATTAATGGCCCACACTTTGCATAATTACAATAGAATCTCAGAGTTATATTTCATACTCCTAGTTTCAGATACAAGAACGGTACGTTCATACAAATAGGATGACCACACTCAGTAGATTATAAGCTTTGTAATGACACCTTACAAGAGACCTTTTGCATAAAGCATATTCCAGTTACATTATATTCACACTCATAAGCATATTTTCATAAACATATAGAGTGCAACGTCACAAGCTTCCACAAAAGCTGGAGCAGTCAAGGGGCAAGCCTGTACTGTCACCCCTCCAGTCTCAGCGGGTTCTGCCCCAAGATCCGTACCAACCAGCCAGAAGTCTCTCAGGCAGCTTCTTCACCACAAGACATAGGTCAGCCACCACCTCAGAAGTCTGTGGCATTCTCGTCTCACGGGGCGCTGGAACAATGTTTATAGTGCGGCTGCTGAGAGCTATTGAACCAAACTGTAAACCCTGGATATACTGTAATGGAAACCATTTTAAGCCAGGGGGTGCGGCAGCCTGTCCCCTCCCACCCGCCCGGACCTCTAGTTCCAGCACCTGTGTCGTCTCATCACCAGATTCCCTGCTGCCAGAGGACGACAGGGGCTCATCCAGATCTACTGAGAAGTATGGCCTCTGTGCTTGACATCCAGGCAGAGGAGGGGCGTGGATGTTCCCACAAGCTGGTGGACGTTCTGGTATCGACAGTCCCTGCCAGGGTAGCTCTGCCAGCCAACGACGTCCTCATGGAGCCAGCTTAGGTGTTTTGGCAGACGCCTTCCTTCTGGCCTCCCACGGCAAAGCAAGCTGAGAGGAGGTGCTACATCCCCTTAAAGGGGCATGACCATTTCTGCTCTCCTCCCT